GGAGCAATGGGCTCAAGTGTGTTGGGAATGATACGGAGCAGGATAGGCTAGGGTTCAGATCTGTTCTTCATAGGGTCACTATGAGTTGGACTCAGCTCGAAAGCACCTAACAACAAAAACATAAAAACTACACCACTGGAGGGGGGAAAAGCCACTGTGGTGGTCAGTTGTTTCATTTTAACCCCAAGAATCTTCCCCTGAAAGAAAAGTCCACTGCCCTCAACTCAAGTCTGACTTATAGCGAATCATCCTTTGGTTTCTGGGGCCCTGAATCTTTATAGTGGCTTAGTGGTAAGGATATGCACTACCAACCCAAAGACTCTCACTTCAAATCCACCAGCTGGCTGCTGTGCAAGGGAAGATGACAGAATTGATGCCTTTGAATTCAATGTCCATGGATTGTCAAAATAATGCTCCTTAGAGGCAAAGATGATAAAGCTTTGTCTCACATATTTTTGGCATCTTGCCAGGAGAAGCTTTTCCTTGGAGAGGGGCATCATGCTTGGAAAACTAGAAGGTCAGCAAAAGAGAAGACCCCCAACCAGGTGGACTGACGCAGTGACTGCTGCAGTTGGTTTTAGTGTGACATGAAGTATGAAGATGGCACAGGATAGAATTGAGTTCAGATCTGTTTTTCATAGTCACTGTAGGCTGTACTCGACTTAATGGCAACTAACAACAACAACAACTATTTATTTCCCTCTCCCCTCTACACTATTGGTTATCCAACTAGGAGCTTATGCCTATTATTCTCGCTATTCCTTTTTTTACACTAAGCACACTATCACCATGGCCTTGGCATTTATTTTTCCAAATTTCTAAAATGTTTTCCCAGATGTCCACATGTCTATTTGCTGACTTCCTTCATGTCTTGAAGCAAAATTCACAGTCTATCTCAATACAGTGTCTGATTATCCTATCTTAAATGTCATCCTTGCCAATAGATATACACATTATATTATCTCTATTTTCTTTTTAATGTAACTTATATGAGACTATATGAGCTTGGAAGGAGGAGTGGCATCCACTTCCATAATAGCTTGTCTCCAGAAACCCTACAAACATGGAGAGAGGATGAGAGACACCCAAGCATTGAGGACTCTCCTTCATAGAGTCGCTATGAGTCACCTGCTACTGGACTGCACTTAACAACAACAACAACATATGAGACTCATTTATCTTTTTATTGTCTGCTTCATTAGATTAAACTTTATGACAACAGAATTTCTTTCTTTTTTTTTTTTTTTTTTTTTTTTAGCAATGTTCAGGACATTGAATACCTTGTTGAATGCAAAGGATTGTTTTTTGACAGTTCATTTTGTTCCCGTCTCTTACATTTGCATTGTTTCAAAACTGAACAACAGCAACTCGGGTCAAATAAAGCATTGGTAAATTAATTCCTTATTCTCCCTAATTCTGCCTGAGCTCCTTCCAGCCTCTTGTCACTTTATTATTTTTAAAACAAGGAATCAACAAATCCAGCGCAGCAAATAAACTGACGGTCCACTTAAATTGAAGTTCCCAATATAAAATATGAATTTTTAGCTTTTAAGCTAAATATTGATTGAGACATGGTTAAGCTAAAAAAATATTTATTCATTGGTTATCTGAAAGACCAAATTTAGCTGAGTGACTTGCTTTTTTATCGGACATCCATACTTCTACCTCTCTCTTCCAGCCTCTACTCAGCTCTACCCCAGGAAGTAGTTAGAATAGAGGTAGGAACACGCTTGTTCCTGCTACAGAGACAGTTTTATGAGTGGGTAGTGACCTTGGACATGAAGCTTCCTCATGTACATAGATCTTTCAAGAAGTTTAATGACAAACCAATGATAAATGTTCTCTTGACTTGTTTTCAGGTTTTGAACAATGGATTTCCACATAGGGAAAAGGTAGGAAGGGAGTGCCTGCTGTTGGGTGCCATGGAGTCAAGACCCACGGCAACCCTATGAAGAACAGACTGAAGCCTTGCGCTGTCCTGTGCTGTACGTAAGCACGAACTCTGCGTGCCTGAGCCCTGGGTTACTCAAGTGTGATAAGAAGAGTATATACCTGGAGGATGACGAATGTGGGTGGGGATCGGTCATTCCTGGAGGAATACTAACTACTTCTCACCAAAAGGTGAGGACAATCAAAGATAGATGCAAAGGTGAACAAAGAGAATTGAAAAATGTCTGCAAATGAAATGTGCAGATCTACAAAAGAGTGGAAAGAATCACGTGGGGTATGGCTAAGTCATTTCAGTAGATTCCAACTAATAACGGTGCTCTAGAAAAGGACCATATCCTACCAACACCTAAATTTAAACAGTGTTAAATGTTATAGCTCTTACTTCATCTAGATAGTCCTTTTCCCCCCAACCCTTTTATATTTTCCCCCCAACCCTTTTTAAAGTAAATCCCAAACACCATGCTATTTCAACCATAACCATTTTATTGTTGTTGTTGTATTGACCCAGAGCTGACCCTCCAGTGTGTTTCCAAAATATGTGAACACTCTTTTACTTAAACATGAGACCACTGTAATACCTCACAAAATGAACACGTCCAAAATTAACTGTAATACTTGATCCAAATTCAATTTATCTTGAGCTCTTAAAACTCCCTTCCCACTCCCCAAACCAGGATCCAATTAAGGCTTATGCAATGTATTTGGCTTATATTGTCTTTTAAGTATCTTGTAAGAACATCAAGAATTTTAACAAGATGAGGCTGCAAATGAGTGGATCAATTATCCCCCTGATAACTAAGGAAGAGATGGGCAACCACGGAAAATGAAATTTGTTGTTGTTGTTGTTATTGTTATGTACCATCGAGTCACTTGTGACTCAGAGTGACCCTATGTACAATAGCGCTGAAACCTTCTCCATCCTGTGCCACATTATTGTCTCTGACACTAACCTTCATTACCCCAGTCACTCAATCAATCTCATTGAGAATCTTTCTCTCTTGCACTGTTCCTCCATCCTCCCAAGGATGATGTCTTCAAGGATTGGTCTCTCCTTGCAACATTCCCAAAGTATGTCAGAAGAAGCCTCAGAACCTTACCTCCAAGGAGCATCCTGGTTTCACCCTCTCAAGTATTATCCTGTTTGTTCTCCTAGCAGTCTATGGTATATTCAACACTCTTCTCCAGCACAGCAGTTCAAAGGCAGCAATCAACAGTTTTCTGAGGCATAGCAAGTAATTGCAAAGAGTATGGTCTGCCTCAGGCACACCTTAGTATCTACACTGATGTCATTGTTCTTTTGTACTCTGGAGATATCTCTGACAGCAGACTTTCCCAATGTAATTTGTCTTTTAATTTCCAGGCTGCTGATACCAAGAGTGTTGATTGTGGAGCCAAGAAAACAAAAGCTGTTAACAATCTCAATCTCTTCACCACTGATCATAATACTGCCAGTTAGCCCAGTGGTGAGAATATTTTTTGTTTTCTTGATGTTGAGTTTCAATCCATATTGAAGGTTGCAGTTCTTAATTTTCTGCAGCAAGCTCTTCAGGTCCTCTTCAGTTTCAGCAAGGAAGGTTGTGTCATCTGCATAAAGCAGATTATAGATAAGTCTTCCTCCAATCCTGATACCACATTCCTCCTCTTAAGAGTCCAGCCGCCCAGATGATCTGTCCTGCATTTAGATTGTGGAGATAGGTCACATCCCTGACGTACATACGCCCTTCCCAATTTTGAACCATGCAGTGTTCCCTTGCTCAGTTCTGACAACTGCCTCCTGGTTCAAGTATAGCATGATGAGGTGTTCTTGGATTTCCATTCTTCTTAGGGTTAGACACAGTTTGTTATGATCCATAGTTTGTTATGGTTATTAGATTAGGTTATTAGAAATAATGGAGATGGTTTGCAATGCTCTGTCAGAAGCACTAAAGAATGTGTCATTGGAGGCTCTATTAGGAGGACAGCAGCACCTTTTTCTGCTATCTGTTGAGTCTCTGTGGCAACAGGAAACCCTCACCTGAAGGTCATCAACTGAGAGGCCTAGGAGGAGAAGAGCACAGCCTCTGGAGTCTGCTTAGCTATGAGAAGGTTTTGGTCAGAGGAAAATACTTAACCTCTCTGACCTTAAAATGGAGACCCAACTCTCTATGCTGTTGAGTGAGAATCAACTTACAACTTTGTTTTATCGTGTTTTCTGAGGTTGTAAATCGCAGAGGAGGAGATAGCTGGTCTGGGGATCCTCAGATGGATCTTAACAGCCGGAGAGGCGGGGCCTTTGAGTTAGGGGCTCACTCCCCAATTGACAGCCCCACCAGAGCTGCTCATGGAGATAACAATGATAACCTAGCCTTTTTAATATACTGTGAGCTGACATCTCTAATGCACTAGTCCTGGGGTTTTGCTCTATGTCAAGTGATCAATAAATGTTAGTATAGCTTTTAAAGGACTAGCACAAACTTACACGAATGGGTAATAGTTTCTATTTCAAAAAATATAAGGGTTTATAGTTCAAAAAACCTTAAAAACTCAGTGTTGTTGAGCTGGGACCAGCTCTTGGCTGACTCTGCATTGAATTTCCGAGGCTGTAAACAGCGTCGGAGGAGATTGTCCATCTCTCTGCGGAGCGCTGGCGGATCCCAACTGCCTGGGAGTCACGTTAGCAGCCCAGCTCTCCGGACCAGGCCAGCAAAGCCCATGTGAGGGCGTTTAAGAACCAAGGCAGAAATGAAACTATGCAGGCCCCACATTTATAAAAAAAAGGGCGGGGGGGGAGCAACATAACAGAAACATTAACTTGACCATTGGTTATCCTTTGCCAACAGAAGTGGGGCCCTTGCACCTGTGGGCCCAGGTTGGGTGTCAGGACCCGGGTTTGAGCAGCACCTGGGCGAAAGCAGACTGGTCTGCTTGCCCGCTGGGTGCTCTGCACGCCCAGGGGAGGGAGGATGCAAATCCCAGGGGCGCAGCGGAGCGCGCAGGGCGGGCCCGATGCGCAGAGGAGCCGCCTCCACCCTCCGCCCAGCAGCGCGCAGAGCGGCTGGAGCGGCGTCGCGATGGGACACCTGTGGCTCTCGGGGGGCTGTGTCCTCTGGGGGCTGCTCCTGTGTGTCGCGGAGCCACGCACAGGTAACCAGTCGGGCTGGGGCTCCAGGGGACAAAGCAGCCAGGGGCGCGCAGGTAGAACTCTGTCTTAACACCCAGCCCCCCTTGCTGGGTGCCATGGTCAACGTGGGGCTGCTAGGGGACCAGGGACCCCAGAGGGAGCTTTGAGAGAGGGCGAGGGAGAGGAGAGAGCGGCAGAAGTGGAGTGAGAGAGAGAATTTTAAATTCATTTAATTCATAGCTGTTGTTGCTTGAATTATTGAAATTTCCCTTTTAAGTGACTCAGTTAAAAGAGGACTGTACTTGATGGGGACACGCAACCTGAGTTATCCGTCCCCTCTCTTTCCGTGTAGCCCTTTGTGCCCTCTAAACCAAGGGCAGCAGTGTCCCCAGTCGGACAGAACTGGGTGTCAGTCACTTCCAGGGGCAGCTGCCCTGTCTTTTCAAAGCAATGCCCAGGAGAGTGCTGGGAAGGGACTGATAAGAAATTGGAGTTGTCAGTGGAGATAAGGCGGAGGATGAACCTGAGATAGCCGAGGAGCCCACGGTCTGGAGATAGGATCCATCTTCGTCATAGGAGTTTGCTGCTCTTGGCTGAGGCTACTGTGAGTTATAAATGCACAGCAAGTGGAAGCAGGCTTCGCGCTCCCAGCAAGGACGGACCCCAAGTGCACGGGAGAAGGTTGGTGAGAGGAGAGGTGGTCTCCTTTTTGTGAGAGAGCTTCACTTATAATAACCACGTTAAACCCATCAGTCAAGAATGAATGCTACCCTCAACAGTCCCTTAATCTTTTCTCACGTGTCCATTTCAAACCTCTCAATAATTTATGGGACTTTTGAGTCTCCACCTAAATTTTTCCACCTGTTATATGAGTTGTCAGATTTGAATGATTTCCATTTCACTACACATTAAGGGAGAAGTAAACTTTTTAAAATCCATTTGTGGATCTTGGAATTGTTTTAAAACAAAGCTTAAATTTCTCCTGAGAAACTGACTCCTGATACATTAATTCCGGTGCTCACTCAGGCGGCTCCCTCAGACTGAATTACCAAAGGTTACCTTCATCTTTCAGACTGTTTGGTCCAATCTGATCAATATTTGCCTTCCAAGACACAAGAGAGGCATGCTCTCTAAGAAACCAAGTAGTCTGTGTGTCCCTAATGGATCTCCCGTGGCCCCATTGTCTTTCTGCCACTTTTTAAGCTAAGATTTTGGAAAGCTGGAGGGGGGAGGGCTGTTTGTTTTTTGGGTTTTTGTTTTGTTTTGTTTTGTTTTAAGAGGGCCATGAAGAAGGCACTTTATTGAGGTGAGGGCATTTTGGGATTCTTGTCCTATCCGCCCTACCCCTGACTTGGCTTCAGTCTCATCAGTACAGTCTCAGGGGTGGAAAGGACCAGGTTTAGGGCTGTTCTGGGCTACCACCCAGGAGAGGCTGGGCAGTGGGGCAGGAAGGCTGGGGCTCTGGTCTAGCGCTGAGCTTCTAAGCAACAAAGGAGACAGTGATGGAGTCAGGGGATGTGGTGGGCCAATCCCCCAGGTCTAGGAAGAGGGTGGTGTGGCTACAAACCAAAGCTGGAGTATTATTTACATTTTTATCCTCTGGAGCCTAATGCAGTTTATTGAGTAAAATAGTGAGACTGAAATTAAGAACTCACAACTACCAGGAAGATAGCCATGGTCCAGAAATTCTTTTTCCAATACTCTCACTCTATCACAGAAAACATTTTCTTTTAAAACAGAGTATTAACCTAGGCTTCTCTTCCAATCTAGCTGGTGCTGCATTTCTGATGGGCTTTTATAATTTCCCCTTGAAGACTTTATTTACCGCTGTTACACTGTTAGCTTGCTAAACATCTTTGTGGAGCTGCAGTTAGTAGAACACCACAAAATTTAGAAGATGTTTTAAAATATGGTAGGTAAGAATGGTGGCAATCATGCCTGGCTCCTGCTGTGAGATGCCTACTACAGAGCTTTGCACAGAGTATTAGCTAAATGCATGAGCAAGTCCTTCTTGTTGTTTGTCTGTGGGTAGGAATAGACACACAGCTGACCCTTCAGTAGGTTTTTATCAGAGGCAGTAAATCACACAGGGGGAGATTGATAATCTTTCTCCCTCAGAGCAGATGATGAATTTGAACCCTTTGCCTTTGGGGCAGTAGTGCAGCTCCTTAGCAGTAGGCCATCAGAGCTCCCTGACATAGTCCTATAAAGAAAAAAAAAAAAAAAGAAAAGACAAAACCCACAACAAAACGAACAAACAACTTGAGTTTAGTTTTAGTTCTATCATTTTCTAATACTATTTCCACAAAATTGCAATAGCTTGTATAACATTTGATGCTTGAAATGAAGGATGTAATAATTTTACTCTGCTATGCTTGAATATCTTTCAGGTGGCTCTAAACAAATCCCCAAAATCACAGAAATAATTCCTAAATATGGCAGCATCAGTGGAGCAACAAGACTGACCATCAAAGGAGAAGGTAAGGTTGGATTTTTTATGTTAAAGTACAAGTGTTTGGAAAACCATTTTCTTTTTACAGCATTACAGTTTGAACACATTTGTTAGTGCGCACACACACACGCGCGCTAACATGCTCACACTGGATTTGTTTCACTACTTGGCCAGAGTTGTAAAACTCTATCTCCTTTGATAGCTGATGAAATCCCCAAGTGTCCCTATCAACCTGATCATCTGAATTCTTATTATGATTACGTGCTTAAGGCCAAGCTCGGAATTTCAATGACTAGAAAGAAACATTTTTAACCTAACTTTACAGATATTTGATTTTCTATTTTTGACTCTAATAATGTTTCATTTCTTTTTATATCCAATAAAGTATTTTAGGAGTTTAGGAGGAGAGATGTTAGTAAGACAACATAAGGTTGTCGTGTTTCGTAGAGTTGGAATTGACCCGTAGCTGACCCTCCTGCAGGTTTTCAAAGGCAGTTAATTGTATGGGAGGTGAGTGCCCACCCTTGTCCTGCGGGGCAGCTGATGGCCTCAAACTGTGTGCCTTCGGGATTGCAGCACAGCTTCTTGCCACTAGAAGCAAATATAATGTTCATGGTAGGGAAAAGGAAATGAAAGCAAAATTTTAATTTCTTCCTCTGCCACCCAAGCCTTACCACATTTTTTTTTTCACTTTCTCCTTCCTTGGTTTTGATAGTAACAATGATAATAAAAAACAAACCCACTGTCTCTGAATGAATTCTGACTTGCAGCAACTCTGTGTAAACAATCTGTAAATGTATTTAACTGATCATTGTTTCCAGGATTAAAGAGAACGATTTAGTTTGAATCTCCCAACTATTCCCAGGTAGAAAGACTGGGTAATCTCCTCCCTTATGACTTACAGCCCCTGCAAACATGCTGGGAAGTCAGCTGTGAGTTAGGTCTGACTCCTCAGCAGTGAGTCATAACGTTTTAGTCCATCTTTAAATGAGAAGCCTTGGTGGTGCAAAGGTAAGTGCTTGGTTGCTAACCCAAAAGCTGGCAGTTTGCACCCACTTAGTAGATCCAGAGGGAAAAGCAGAAGGGATCTACTTCTGTGAAGATGCCAGCAAAACAAAACAAAACAAACCTCAACCAACCAACCAAAAACTGCCTGATGGGCACTTCTACTCTGTCACTTGGTCACTGTGAGCTGAAACGGACTGGACGACATTTAACAAAAATAACAACAACATGCCTTGAAATTGTACTCAATTTATTCTCAGTTGCTGTTAGGTGGCATTGACTACGACTCATAGTGCCCCTCTCAACAACAGATCTAAAGTTTGTCCTATCCTGCGCCATCCTCCACTCTCTGGCATACTTAAGCCCATTGTTGCAGTCACTGTGTCAGTCTACCTGGTTGAGAGACTTCCTCTCTTACCTCATCCCTTCACCTTTCCAAGCATGATGTCCTTCTCTAGAGAATAGCTTCTCCTAGCAACATGCCTGACCTATGTGAAATGAAACCAAAAAACACTTTGGCTGTGCCTTCTCCAAGACATATCTACTTGTTCTTTTTGTAGTTCTTAGGATATTCAGTACTCTTCTCCAACATCGCATTTCAAAGGCATCACTTCTTTCCCTGTTATTCTTATTCATTGTCCACTCACAGCAGTATGGCTAGTAACTGAAAAGACCATAGCCTCAATCATGTGCACCTTGGTCCTCAAACGAATAATAATAATAATAATAATAATAACACTGCTCCTCAATAATTTGGAGAGGTCCTTATGTAGACTTTTCCAGTACAATACAAACCCTGATCTCCTTACTGATCGGAGTAAGTGTATTGATTGTGGATCCAAATACGATGAAGTCGTTGACAGTTTGAATCTTTTCTCTGACTATCATAAAGTTTCCTATTGGTCCAGTGGTGAAAATTTTTATTTCCTGAAGTTAAGATGCAATTGATATTGAATGCTGCAGCCTTTGTTCCTCAGCAGCAGACGCTTCAAGTCCTCTTTCCATTCAGCAAGCGAGGTTGTGTCATCTGTGTAATGAAAAGTTAATGATGAGCCTTCCTCCAGTCCAAAGTTCACAGTCTTTTTCATTTTTCCAATTTGTCAAATAATTTGCTCAGCATAAGGTTTGATAAGTATGGAGAAAGACTACCCTGACACATACTTTTCTTAATTTTAAACCATGTACTGTTCCCTTGCTCTGTTTGCCCAATAGCCTCTTCGTCTAGGTATAAGTTATGCATGAGCACGATCAAGTGGTCTGGGATTCCCATTCGTTTCAATGTTAGTCATAATTTGTTATGATCTGCACAAATGCCTTTGCATAGTCAAATAATTGATGATCTGTGGAACAGACCATTAATTACTCATGTTTTGAGTTGAAGTCCTCCTTTTGTTATTCCTCTAATGGTGTGGTTAACCCAAAGCTGCACCTCTCTGAAGTTTGAATCTACCAGTTGCTCCACAGAACGCAGATTATCTGCCATGAAATTTACAGCATGGAAAACCCAAGGGAAGCTCAGCTGTGAGGCAATTCCAACTGGATAACAATGAGTTCTTGAGGGTTTTGGGGCCCGTTTGTGTTTATGTCCTTTTGTTGTTGATGTTAAAAATCTGGAAATAATTTTATTTGCTAAAGATTATTTTCAGATGGTTTTATCTATAGGTCTGTTTGGTTATACATTGCTATTAATTTATATTAGCATGATATTGATTATTTAATAGATATTTAATATACTGAAAGGACAGATGTTGTTGTTGTTAAGTGCCGTTGAGTCGCAGGCAATTCATAGCGACCCTATGAAGAAGAGTCCTCTACGCTTGGGTGCTTTTCATCCTCTCTCCAGGTTCATAGGGTTTCCGGAGGCAAGCTATTATGGAAGTGGATGCCACTCCTCCTTCCAAGATTGTTTTAATCGGGAGCTCCACCCCACTCTCTGTCCGTATTGGGTAGCCAACCATTAACACATTTGGCACATCAGTGTCACAGTGTTCAGCCTCACAGCAATCACAAGTGACCATGGTATGGCAACTTGTACACCAGGGCTATACGACCTAGAGGAATGTCTGAGCAAAAACAATGAAAGACTGGCCCGAGGGCCGCGGATTAAAAGTCACCCACCTTTGGCTTAGTAGCATTGCTTTCTGGAAAGGACCGATAAAACAAACAAAAAGTCCCACCACCCAGCCACTTATTTTAAACCAAAGCCATGCTTGATTCATCATTAATTGCAAATAGGAAGAAAAATTCTATCCTGGAAGCATTGCAGAAGAGCATTCTTACTAATCTAGCTGTAACATTTGCCTTTTTTGTGGTCCTTTGAGACAATTAAACTTAGATGGAATACTCTTGATGATAATGAAGCACAAAGTGTTACGGTGAATTTATGCTCTTTACATGCTCCCCATTTCTTTTATGCTTTGTCCCAGGATAATTGGAACCACAGGTCCCTCTCTCCCTTTTAACCTCACTGTATGTGACGAAAAATGAGTTGTTTTTGTTGTTAGGTGCTGTCGAGTGGTGTATATAAACAGCAAATCTGAACCCTGTCTTATCCTGTGCCATCCTCACAATCTCTGACCCACTCAAGCCCATTGCTGCAGTTACTGTGTCAATCCACCTAGTTGGGAGTCTTCCTCTCTCTTGCCATCCCTCCACCTTTCCACGCATGTTGTCCCTCTCCAATGAATTGCCTCCCCTTGCATCTGCCTTTCTTTCAAAAAGGCTGAGGCTAAATAAATAAGCCTTGGTGACATAATGGTTAGCACTTGATACTAACCTCAAGGTTTATGTTCAGAATCCACCACCTTGCTCTGTGAGTGTAAGTTGGAATCCTTATAGGTATGTTTGGGGAGTTTAAATATTGCTTTTATATAGGTTTTTGTGTGTCCATGAAACATAATGAGTGCTTATAAACCAATCAAAGTAAATGTGCAAAACATACCATAGCAAGTTTATGTAAATGTGGTAAGCTTACCTTAAACTTAGGACATTTCCATTCCAACTAGTATGTGGTGAATTTTTAAGTATGTCAAATGTCTCATAAAATTTTTCACTACCTTTATAAATTCTATTTTTAAAAATCTGCAGGTGAACCTGCATATGAGAATGATAACATCAGCGAATTACACGAAGCAACATTACATGTAGTGCATATTACAAGCAATGTTGTTAGGTGTGGTCGAGTTGACTACAACTCATAGTGACCCAACGAACTGTAGCTCTGATTCTTTCCCTATCCTGAGCCAACTTCACCATCTCTGATAAACCTGTACCATTTCTGCAGTCAGTGTGTCAGTCCAGCTCCTGCAGGGTCTTTATGTCCTGAGTTGACCTTCCACCCAAAAACAAAATGCAGAATGCTTGAGTGCATTTCGTCCTAACTTGAATACATCCAAAGCTGAAGAATACTTGTATTTGCATAAAGCTTACTAGGAGAGACTATGTTTACATAATTCAATAATTCTGTCTTGAACAAACATACTTACAAAAGTTATGGGTTGCTTGGAAAATTAATTTATAAAGCACATGGGGGAAAAGATAAAAGAAATAAATAAAGCACTTGAGGACAGTTGACAAATAGAATTATAAACTTTAGATGATCATCTAAATATTGTTTCCGTATGACTTTGAAAGTATATTTTTTGTATGGACATTATAACACTATAAAATATAGGAATATTTATGAGAAAATGAGTTCTCTGAACTCCTGCCCATGAAAAAGATTTACTGTCACATTTGGGTGTATCTGAATGACTTTTATTATTTCCAGCCATGCTGTTTACCCTTAAAAACAAAAATTTGTTACATTACTTTTTGCAAAAGGCTGCCCTTCAAGACTCAAAGATATAAACTTGTAGAATTATTTTGTTCAAGTGAAAAGTGTTGAACAAATGGCAGGCTCACAGTAATGATTACATTTTGATAAGTAAGTTTTGAAATGTTTTGTTACCTTATTTTCATAGCTTGTATTTCTCAATCTTCTTCCTTAGAATTTATCATGTTTATTTTTATGTGAAAAAATAT